CCTTTTTAGAGCAGCCTAGCATTCCATCGTGTAGATGTACCAGTTTTATTCATTTCAAATGGGCCGCGGCCCGCGGGCCATAGTTTGCCACGGCTAGTGTAGAGTGATGGTGCTCAAACTTTTTAGTTTCAGAACCCCTTTATATTCTTAAAAATGGAAGACCTAAGAACATTTTTGTTTGTTATATCAATATTTATCATATTGTAAATTAAATTGAGAGTTTAAAAAGTATTAATTCATTTTATAATCACATTAATAAATTAATTACCTCAAAAAATGTAGTGAGAAGACTGGTGTTATTTAACATGTCTTGCATACCTTTTGAATGTCTGGCTTAGTGAAAGACAGGTTGGATTCTCCTCTCTGCTCTTGCAGTTAGTCTCTTGTAATGTGTCATTTTGATGAATGTGTATGAAGAAAAACCACTTTTTACGATAGAATATGTAGTTGGAAAAGGGAAGAGTATTTTTAATAGCCTTTTCAGATAATTGTGGACATTATTCTTTGATACTACACCAAAACTTGACAAGTGACACTTCCTTCAAGTTTGGTGTAGTGTGGAATCTGAAACCACTTTGTTTCTCTAAAACACATTGGTCTCTCTTGTACTGTGGTTGGATTATGTAATATTATGTTAGCTGAGTTATACAGGTCTTCCAAATGTTGACATACCTATATACTTATAAAAGCCTAGGTGGCCCTTGCACGCGACATCGTCACAGTATGGCTGCCACAAGATGGCCACACAACACAGCGGAGGCGGGGCCTGGCGGCTGCTCCAGACAGTGAGGCCTGGGGGTCCCGTGGCTCCACGCAGCGCGGATGAGGCGGGTCCCGGCAGAGGAGGCGGGTCATGGCAGGGGAGGGCAGTTGTGGGCGATCAGGCTGGCAGGGGAGGGCAGTTTTGGGTGATCGGGCCGGCAGGGGAGGGCAGTTGTGGTCAATCAGGCCAGCAGGGGAGCAGTTAGGCATCAATCAGGCCGGCAGGGGAGCGGTTAGGGGGTGATCAGGCTGGTAGGCAGAAGCAGTAAGGGGCAATCAGGCAGGCAGGCAGGCGAGCAGCTGGGAGCCAGCAGTCCTGAATTGTGAGAGTGATGTCTGACTGCGGGATCGGGCCTAAACCAGCAGTTGGACATCCCCGGAGGGGGTCCCAGATTGGAGAGGGTGCAGGCCAGGCTGAGGGACACCCCCCACCCCCATGCATGAATTTAGTGCACGAGGCCACTAGTCCTATATAATAAGAGGCTAATATGCAAATTGACCTATCGGCATATCGAACCAGTCACTATGAAGTGCACTGACCACCAGGGGGAAGATGCTCAATGCAGGGGCTGCCCCCTGGTGGTCAGTATGCCAGAAGCCGGGTTCACGGCTGGTGAGCTCAGTGGCAGTGGCAGGAGCCTCTCCCACCTCCACAGCAGCACTATGGATGTCTAACTGCTGGCTTAGGACAGCAGCGCTATGGATGTCTAACTGCTGTCAGTCGTACATCCCCCGAGGGCTCCCGGATTGCGAGGGCACAGGCTGGGCTGAGGGACTACCCCACCCCCGTCCCCGCCCCTGAATGCATGAATTTTGTGTAGTGGGCCTCTAGTTTTATTATATAACAGCAAAAAATCACATTCATTACTATTTCCACTGATCTCATCGGAAAAGTCTTTAAGTACTTGGGAAACTAGGAAGCTCTTGGTGACAGCTATAAATTTTCCAAGATTCTAATTTTTGCTTGGATTTTATCATTGACCACTACTATAAGCTGTTTTCCTTGAACGGATAGACTCACTTCATTCCTTTTCAAGAAAACATCTGCCATTCAGAAAACACCCAGATCTGAATAACCATCGTTTTCAAGTCCATGAGCCAGTGTCCCCAACCAGATGGATGCACAGGAGCTTTTCCCAGAGAGCAGCAGTGTTCTCTGTGCGAGAGCTGCCATGTACTGTCAGGTCTGGGCGTGAGAAAACTAATGCATGACTTCGTCAAGGGCATTCTTCTGTGAAACTCGTCTGCTGCAGTGCCTGATACAGAGACACCAGCACTATCTGGTTCCTGCCCGGGGGGGGCCAGCAACTTTACCCCAGGGCTTTTGTGCCAGCATCACTGAGTGTCAATACAATAGAATAGGCTCATAATATCCTGGTATTATCATGACTTAATGGGTCACCCAATGGGGGGACCTTCAGGGTCTGTGCAATAACACTTTGAGAACCTATGGTGTGGGAGTCTGACTCTGGGGACAAAGCCAAGTGTGTGTAATACTGACTGGCTCTGTCAATTTTTATGCTGCCATGGGACCCGAGTGAGGCCACATGTTCTTTCTAAGCCCTTGTCTCCTCATCCGGAGAATGAAGACATGGGCTTCTTTGACCATTTGTCGTGAGCACTAAATGGTAGAACTAATGAAATGCGCCTGTGTGGGGTTAGTACATAGCAGGTTCTAGAGAAGTTTCCTTTCCTTTCTTTCTTAGAACATTGGTTCTAGCCAAGCAGAGGTCTCTTGGCTGTTCTCTCACTTGCAGTGCCTTGAGGAAGGGGGAGCAGAATGGACAGGGAGCAGCAGAACTTCCTGGGCTGTTTAAGCAGGGAGGTCTTAGGTTCTTTGGACTCATCAGTTCTATGCGGACGACTTAGTGTAGTTTGAAATAAAGAGCCAGCTTCTAAGAAAATTAGCAGTCTTCCTGTTGCTCTCGTCTTCTGGGCTTTGGGCTCTTTACCAGTAATCCTGGTTTAGCCTCAGAACTCTAGGGTGGAGTGGAGCAGAAGGGGCCTTTCACAGCTGGAAAACCATCTCAAGGAAAAGGCAGCTTCTGCTGCAAGAGCTGTGCCCTGCTGGAAGTCTAAGTGTAGTGGGGGACAAGGTTTTCCCTTCCAGAAAAATACTGGAACATGATTTTGTCACAGCTAAGTGAAACCCGAAATGTTCAAAACCCAGTTCTCTTCAGATTTTAAAAATGAACATTAATCTGACAGTGGTTTGAAGACTGTGGCCCAACTCCAAAAGAGGTCGACAGTTCCTGTCTAAGACAGATCCCATTGAGTCTTCAGTTTATCATGTATTATCTTCCTTATTGCCCCGGAGGTGGAGATGGGGACATGCTATGAGAATGTAGCTTTCAGAAGAAGAGGTTGTGGTTTTGACCTGCTAGTGGGTTCAGTGTCAAGCCCAGTGTGTAATGGTGTTCCAGGTCTTTCTGGGAGAGCTCTTGCCAGCTCAGTGGTGCCTGGTCCAGAGCTGCTGGCAAGGACTTTTCCAGGAGAAAACCATGCCCTGATACCTGCAAGAATACATTCTGAGTGCAGTGGCCCAGTGTTTGAAATGACCTTAGTTCTCTGTGCAGATCTTGGATACTCAGGCTGAACATCCTTATGTTACTAATCTTTATTGGTAGCTAGACTCGGTATTATGTGTACACAAGCCCCAAATTTTAAAAAGGGTTGCGCATGTATTAAGTTTTGTCCTGAAGAAGTCTCCCAGCAAGGTTCCCTGTAGCTCAGAGCACTCAGATGTAATGGGGGTAGCAGAGCTGCCTGGGTGACTGTACACTAAAGCGTTTAAATCGATATCTTCTTAGGTTTTAATAGACTCTCTGTCCCCAAGATAGAAAGGACCCCTGCACCCCAAGATGGATGAGGATCTTTGTATTTCTCTTCTCCATCATATGTGGTTCTGTGAAGTATGTGATGGTGGGCCTGGGGTGCAGGTGAACCCATCTCAATTGGAGTGACCAGTGTGGCAGAAGGGGTGCTGGGCTGCACTTTGCTGTTTGTCTTCTTAATGTTGTGACCTTGAGCAAGCCAGTTCACTTTGTTGAGCTCCAGCACTTTCATATGTAAACTCAGTCTTAGGACACTTGCCCCTTATGTGCTGCAGGGGGTGGTTGGTTGTGAGGCTTCCGAGGAAGGGCTGAGAAGCCCTAAGATGGGGGGAGGGCGTTCAAGGCAAGAGAACACTGAAGAGAGCCCAGAGAAAAGGTGGAAGCCTGCAGGTGGAGGAGGACAGAGCCAATCCCTCCTGGTGGCCGTGATGTTGGCCCTGCAGGCAGACCACCTGCATTTGATGCTCACTTCTCCATGTGTGACCTTTCCGTGCTTCCGTTTTGTCCTCTGAAAATAGGTGTCAAAATAACCTCTGCAACAGTACCTGCCCTTAAGGATTACATGGATAATAATAAGCCGAAAGTCCAAGCCTGGTTTCTGACTATGGGAAATGCTCCGTCATGTTAGCTCTTACTCCCGTCAGGACCACAGTAGGCTTTCCCCACATGTGACAAAGTTTTGTTTCAGAGACATAACTAGATGTGTGGTGTAGCCAAAGCCTGATAGCAACCACCATATTTTAGAGCAGCCGTCATTTAACAAGGATAGGTCCAGTCAGAGCAGCGGGTACCTCGGTGCGGTCGGTGAGTGTGACCCTCCAAGGGAGCTGTTATGTGAGATTCCTCTAGGCCCTTTGGAGAAAAGGGGCATATCCATGCTGTGAGTGTGCTGTTTGTGAAAAATTTACAACATTTTATTGGCAAAACTATATTTCAAACATTACCTTGATTACCTTGCTATGGGAAATAGGACAGAGAAAAGCAAAAGCAATTCCTTACATGTCTTGGATTATTCTATATTAGTTCCTAAAGAGATTATTTGGATGTTTTCTTGAGCAAACAAGCATGTGCTGTTTTTACCTGCTTTACCTGTTCTGTGAGGGCTGTAGGAGATATATTGTCAGGTATGCAATCAGTGGACCAGGATTCAGAAGACCTGGGTCCCAGCTCTGCCACACCCTGCTGTTCAACCTCGGGCAAGTCACCTAACTTTTTTGGACCTCAGGTTTGAGACCTGAAAAGTGGAGAAGATGTTGGTCATCTTGCCCTGCTCACTTCACCTGGGGCATCATGAGGCTCAGTGAGAGAATCCGGGTAAATTGCTTTACAACCAAATACAAGTATTAACAAATGGCTGCTGGTAACCAAGTTCTGACCCTCCTAATGAAATATTTTCTTTCTCAGTGATGTTACAGCCTTTCGATTATGACCCCAATGAGAAAAGTAAACACAAGTTTATGGTTCAGTCTATGTTTGCGCCAACTGACACTTCTGATATGGAAGCAGTAGTAAGTACTGAATGCTTCTTACTTTTTAGTATTCAATGATTAGGGACAGAATTGTGGGTGCATGCAGTTCACAGTATGTTAGAATTGTTTTAAAGGGGAATGTTGTTTCCAGGGAGGTTTTTACTCTGGCTGCCTTTATGGTTTTCCTAAAAGCTTTGATTTTTTACATTTTATGTAACTCTCTAGAATACTGTTCTTCTTTGACTTTTGTATCTCAGTTTGCCTCAGCAATTCCTTGTTCTGATGTATTGTATCTTGAATGGTTTGTGGGTTCTCTCCCTTTCCTCCCATCATGTGCCCTACAGAAAAGGGCACCCGCTCATTACCATGTGTCCCCCCCCCCCTCCCCCCCGAACTCAGGGGGATGTGAGCGAGGTGAATACTAAATGTTCTCCACGGTTAAGAACTCCCCCCTTCCCTCCCCCCCCCCCCCCCCGGTTCTGGTAAGCATGATTTTTTTTTTCCCTTTTAGGTTCTTTCATTTTTTTCTGCTTAAATGCATTTTAACTAATTTGGTAAAAATAAGGTGACTTCATTTTCATAAAATAAATGATACTATATTATTGATTTTGCTGGAAAAAGAGTGTAATGGAAATTCCAAAGTAAGCTTGTTACTCAAATAAATGAGGAGGCCTTCTGGTGCTGTGAGTGTGTCTCAATATACAGAGCAGCTTCGCCATCCATCGCACCGGCCAGGACAGGTGTCTGGTCCTCACAGAGTGGGAAAGAAAGGCAGATTGCCTCACTCCAGCCTGCCAACCCAAACTGAGACTGCAGTCATCCAAGGAATGTCTGCAAGTTTGGTTAGCTGTGACTCACACCGTCTTGTAGTTTTCTCTCTCAGAGTTTGATACTGAGGGCTGTTTAATGCACAGCTCACCTTTGTGTCTCAGAATCACCACACTGCCTTTTCTACTTGTCTTGGAAAAGTAAACCAACCATCTTCATGTGTTTAACTTGGGGCTGTAAATGGAGAAGCCACTATTTGGGGGTTTGAGAGAGATCAGTGATAATGAGCCATCTTCCTTTGCATAAGAACAATTATTGAGGCTACTTTCCCTTTTATTTCCTAGATCATGATGTGTCATTTCATGTTAATTTGTGTAATCAAGGAAATGTATGGCAAATACGAAATAAGGGATATCTGAGAATATGTTCTATTTGGCTTTTGTTGCATGGCTTACTGAAGAGAGCATGGGCTTGGGTGTGGAGCTGAGGCCTGCCTTTTACTAACACCTGTGGCCTTGGGCGATTTCATTAACTCACTTGAGGGTTTGGTCACCTGTAACATGGGGTTAAGGGCCTGGTTGATGGGTTGTCGTGGGATGAAACGTGCTCTGTGTAGAGCACCTGGCAGTGCCTGGCTCTGTTTCATCTGCTGTCACAGGTCTGGCACTCTCGTAGTCAAGGTGAATCTCACTTCCTCATACGGTAATTTTTGTACCAGTTTTAAAGATGTTTCTATGAAATATACATTGTAGAATTTTTGGAAATACAAAAATGAAAAGTTACCTGAAATTTGTTATACTTGACCTAACCACTGTTAATGAATGAAGCCTTGAGCTTTTTTATTTTATTTTAAAATATCTTTCTTTTTATTTTGATATACAGAAAGTTGAAAAAATGCTACATTAACCACTCATATTACCTTTACCTAGAGTCACCATTTAACATTTGCCACATCTGCTCCATTTCTGTCATAAGCTTTCTTTTCTACTGAACCACTTGAGGGTAAGATGCAGACTTCACCCCTAAATGCTTCAGAATAAGGCCAGTCTCCTATATAGCAACATACTGTTACCACAGCCTAGGAGTCAACATGGATTGTATTGCCTAACAGAGAAACACACATTACAGTGTTTTTCAGTTGTTCCCCAGTGGCCTTTAGTTCTAGTCTGGTAGAGTAGCCTGGACCTTTTTAGTTTTTTATTACTTTGAATTTTTTAAAGTCCAGGCCAGTTGACTTTTAGAATGTCCCACATTCTGGATTTGTCCAGTTGTTTCCTCATGATTAAATTCAGGTCAAATGTTTTGTGGCAAGAATATTCCATAGGTGATGTCATGTATGTATCATTTCAGAAGGCATTTAATGCTGATTGTCCCTCTGTTGGTGACACTAAGTTTGATTACTTGGTTGCAATGATGATGGCCAACTCTTTCCAGGGTCAAAGCACATTTGCCCCTTGTGGTTAATAACAGGGAATCTGTGATGCGCTGAGTAAACTGGTGCTTGGACTCAGCAGCAGTCCTCCTCCCAGAGGCCTTAGCATCCAATGATAGTCCTGCCCAATGCTCTGACATGTGTGCATGTTTGCATAGAAGTAGACTCAGAACATTGATGTTGCATCTTCACTGACTTTCTGTGGACTTCCCATGAGTGAAATGCTTCTCAGTGTCCTGTGAACGGCATGCTACACCACGGAGAAACTGCCAGGGTTTGTTGGCAGTTCACACCCTGTTGTCTTCATTCTTGGTTCTTAGTACCTGTGTTGCTCCAGCTGCCCTTGCCTCTTGGTCCTGGGGCAGGGCTGGGGGAGTTTATTCCTTCTCTGTATTGTAACCCTCCTGATGCACTGGGCTACAGTTCTCAGAATCCCATCTTCCACTTCCAAAAGGAGGAAGAGTAAACCAGGAATGCAGCGTCCCAGAACAGGGTTTAGCCAGGAAGCCACCTCTACCAACAGACAGAGGGAGGAGGAGAGCAGCAGAGAAGGCTTGGCTAATGTGCCCTGTTGGTAGTTGGCAGCATGGATCCCGAACCACACCCAGATTGGACGTGCTTACTCTAAGGGATGCACCCTGTAAAGGAGGTTTATTTTCTTAAGGGTCAAGGTTAGCCCTGGCCATCCAACCATCAGCCATGGTCCTCTCTCTTCTAAGTGCTTCCCACAGACTAGCAACGGGGGGCATTGGTTGACTTTGAGGAGTTAGGCAGCAAGACTGGGATTTGCGAAGTGTAATAAATATTCAGGAAGGCTATTATATTTAATCTTGTCATGTTGAAAATATTGAAATCTCAGCAGACTTAATTTCTTTATTTGATATATATCAGGGCTTTCTCATTAAGAGTATTTTTCTGAAATTGTCAGTTATAGGAAGAAAATTATTCTTCCCGAAGCTTTATAATATCCTGATTATTAAATTTAAATTGTTTTAGTGGAAGGAGGCAAAACCGGAAGACCTTATGGATTCAAAACTTAGATGTGTGTTTGAATTGCCAGCAGAAAATGATAAACCAGTAAGTATATTTATAGTTAACAATAATTGAATGTTGCAAGCTGATACTTATTTGCATACCATCTCCTGCAAAACCAGGATTTAAGTTGGCAAATTATTTTCCTCTTTCTGATGCATAAAAAAAAAAATCTTAAGTCGACAAATAAGTGGGCCCCCACAAAATCAGCCTTTGAAAGACTTGCAGAGAGACAACCAATTGGAATAATTTTTGCCCTTGCAAAGTACAACCTGTTGGCTGTGGAAATGTTATAAATCCCAAAGAGCATCTTTGACTTCACAGAGTTATAGGTCGCTCTTACATGGGGTAAGACTAAAACAGGGAATAATTTGCCATTTATCATGGTGCTTAACAGACAGGTGTTAAGCATGTAGGGTCTGTTGTTTCACAAAGAACCTAAAGGTTCTCCAGTCTGCTGTTTCCCTCAGCACCACCTCTCTATCCCGTAACCCCACTTCCTGCTGCTGTCAAAATTGCTTCTAGAGGAGGAGTCTCCAATTCAGACTAACATGTGGGCCCCATACTCTGCTATGGGCTGTCCTGGGCCTTATAGAATGCCTGACTTCTGCCCACTAAATACTGGTAACTCTACCTAGTTGTGACAACCGAAAATATCTCCTGACATTGCCAAATATGCCTCCCCTCCCCCCCCCCCCACCATTGAGAATCCCCTGTGCTGTCTGAGGGGTGAATCCAAGGAACAGCTTCTCTCAGGCTTCCGCTCACTTTTCTCTTTGTGTAAAACCGAGGGATTGGCCTGGCATGGCCCTTACTTGATTCCAGTTGAAGGCAGAAGACTGAAATGCTAATGTGGACTCCCTTCAACCTAGTCAGAAAAACTTAAATTGTATTAAAAACACAATTTGAAGCATAGGCAGAGTATTAGCTACCCTGATTGTTAATAGCTGAGACCTTCTGAGAACATTACCGTAATGACCCCCAGGAATGCTCTGGATCTGTGCCAGAACTACTTAGTATGTTCTTTCTGCACAGTCACTGACGTGACCATTATTCTGTTTCTTTGAATTACACATTATGTCCTGGGAAGGTCAGTTTTGGAAGTTACGAGACCTGTATTCTGGTCCTAGCTCCAGCTCTGATACATTAGCTTTGTAGATTGGGGCCTTGCCTTATAGGGCCTCACTCTTCTCATCTGGAAAATAAAGGTTGGAGCTAGATAGGTCAGTAGAGCTAGATGAGTAGTTCTAGATTACTACTTGGAACCCCACCACCCAGGACAGCTCTCCTTAGCCTCTACGCCAGGGTTCCTCAAACTACAGCCCGCGGGCCACATGCAGATACAAATACTGTATTTGTTCCCGTTTTGTTTTTTTACTTCAAAATAAGATATGTGCAGTGTACATAGGAATTTGTTCATAGTTTTTTTTTAAAACTATAGTCCGGCCCTCCAACAGTCTGAGGGACAGTGAACTAGCCCCCTATTTAAAAAGTTTGAGGACCCCTGCTCTACGCCATCCTCTCCCCCTCCCGTCCTCCTCCCAGCCCTCCCCCCACCCCTCCCCCTCACTGACACATCCCTAGTCAGTCTCAAGATGATGCCATAACACATGGAAATGGGGAGGGGGGCACATGTAACTTTCCCAGATTGAAATATTGCAGACACTGCACTCATTCCACCTTCATCCCAGCTTCCAAGCTCTAAGTTTATGAACTAAATGCCCTCTGTGTCCTCCCTGGCCTCCCACCCCTGCCCAGCCAGTCCTAGGATGTTCAGATCTTCACGGTGACAGTAATTTGTGGATAAGAGTTCCTGCGCTTGTACAATTACCGCATGCTAATTTTTGCATGGTGGGAGTCTGATGGTACAATACATACAGATTTTTCCTCCTCCTCTGAAGCATTAGTCTCGGCTGGACTTTGTTATTTGCCCTTCTCCATAATTTCTGGGGCCAAGTTGCTTTAGATTATTAATATTAAGATACTAGATGAAGTGATCCATTTTTAAATAAACGTGACATCTTTCAGTGTGGATAAAAGGCTGCCATGTGTGGTGTTGCTGAGAGCTACTTTACTTTGCATAAAAAAGTCCTTTATTACATAGTTGGTGACACTTGGGCTTTCATTTATTTCTGAACAGCATGATGTAGAAATAAATAAAATTATATCCACAACTGCATCAAAGACAGAAACATCAACGGTGTCTAAATCTCTGAGCTCTTCTTTGGATGATACTGAAGTTAAGAAGGTGATGGAAGAATGTAAGAGGCTGCAAGGTGAAGTCCAGAGGCTGCGGGAAGAGAACAGACAGTTCAAGGTAACAGCATTTCCTTTTCTGATAATCTGAGAAAGGAGGCTTCTTCCCTAGGATCTTGGGGAGGGAAGTTGATGAACCCCTGAATTTGTAGGCTTGTTTGTATTAGCACACTTTTCTCCCAGGGAGAAATTCCATAGCTTTCATCGGTTTCTCAAAAAGGCCTTGAACTTCCCCTCCCCCCATCAAGATCCTGTGTCTATTTAAACTCTTGTCCCCTGGTGTTAAAAACAAACAAACAAACAAAAAACAAAACCCCTCTCACCTTCCATTAGTGTAAAATGAATATTAGACATAAAAAATAAAGCAGCAGTGGTTATGTGGAATTTACATTTTCAAATCCCATTTCATCCCCACTGGAGGAGAATCTCTTTTTGAAGAGAGTAGATACTGACCTCTCCTCCATTTTAACGCAGGCATAATTCTGACTTTTGAAGATTCTAAATGAATCTGAACATAAAGCCCTTGTTACACTATACATGGCGATGAGGTTGGAGTTGTCAGAGTAGGTGGAGATTGTGGAAGGAGAAACCCGTGTCCAGCCATGGGCAAGATGGCTGGCAGTGGTGCTGGAGGGTCAGGCTACACTGGGTGGTAGAGGAAGGGGGCGGGGCACTGCTCTCGCCTTGGAGGCCTGTGGTGGTGTGGAAACAACTAGTCAGACTTGAACTAGCTCTGAGTCTAGTGTGTGTTAATCACAGCATCTCCTGGACCTCTTTCCCAAAATACCTCTGCAGCCCCTTCCAGCTTTAAAAGTGTGTCTGTTCTAGACACAGTAGTGAAGAAAACACTTCTGATCATTTGATCAGAGGAACTTTTGTTGCAGCTTAAATTTTGAGGCTGACCTATTCCCTTCATCTTGGTCGTGCCACCCAAGCATGTAATAGGTTTTTGCTCTCTAACTACTACAGCACTCGGTTCTCGTAACAAATTCATTTCCGCCGACTCTTCTCTTTTATTCTGACAGTGTGGTCGGTCTAAAACTGTCAGTGCCTGGGAAGCGGCACTGTCTTCTTTTCCTGAAGAAGTCTTCATTGGCCTCATGCCGTGGAATAAATTAGGAAGCTGACTTTACTCTTTGGCTAAAAATCTAAGATACATCTAAAGCTGCTTCTTGAGTATATTTCTCTTTAGAAACAGAGTTCTTCGACATTTAAAGTGATAAGTAGGTAGAAATAGCTTCTATATAAACCCAATAAAATAAACGCTGTATTTTGCTGTGCCCATTTTTTTTAAGTTAATCAAATAACACTGGTCATTTATCACACTGTGCATCGATATTGGCTATGTCCCATGAGCAGAATATCTTTAAAATATTATCAGGCCAATCTTGACATTAGAAGATTCTTTATCCTGCCAGACACTGATTTCTTGTTTTGTGGTTTTTCATTCTTTTATTTGGCCAACAAATTTCTGGCCCTACCGTGCACCCAGCACTGTGGGTACAAATGAGAGCAGTCCTGCCCTTGAGAAGTTACCTGAGAACAGAGAGACATAGGCACAAACTTTGACATAGAGTGACAAGCAGTTCCACAGGTACATGGAGAGTCGGCTTGGTGGGCTGGCTGCTGCTTATCTTCAGGACCTGATAGGCACTAGGTGGATGTGAAGGAATAGAAGGAAAAGAAGAAGGGAAAGTGCAGCTGGTTTGTGAGTCCTGGGATGAGCAGATGGGTCATTAGCCAGAGTTCTAGCTGCAGAGTATGGCTGTGTGGCAGATAGGAAGGCTTTGGTGTGTGTCCTGTGTAGGGATCTAGGGCTGGCCTGGGACAGGGAAGGAGGAAGAAGGGCCATTTCCTTGCACACCTGTTGATGGAGGAATGTAGCCAGGTACCTTTATATATAGGAAAAGTAATATTGCCTCTTCAATGGAAAATCCATGCACCAAGTAGAAAATATTTGAGATGCATGTATCAAGTTGAGTCACATTTTAACATTCCAAATTCATGTTATTTGAATAATGAGAATCCAGCAGTCTACATGTAACTCATCAAATACCTGTACACAGCTCTGCATTGGAAAGCTTCTCGATCCCCTACTTCCAAGTTTCTTGTGATTTTTATTTATTTATTTTTATTTATTTATTTATTTATTTATATAATTTTTTTTTTTAAACATGTTTTTTATTGATTTTTTACAGAGAGGAAGGGAGAGAGATAGAGAGTTAGAAACATCGATGAGAGAGAAACATCGACCAGCTGCCTCCTGCACACCTCCCACTGGGGATGTGCCCGCAACCCAGGTACATGCCCTTGACCGGAATCGAACCTGGGACCCTTCAGTCCGCAGGCCGATGCTCTATCCACTGAGCCAAACCGGTTTCAGCGATTTTTACTTTTTTTAAATTAAATCTTTATTGTTCAGATTATTACAGTTGTTCCTCTTTTTCCCCCATAGCTCCCCTCCACCCGGTTCCCACCCCACCCTCTGCCCGACCCCTGCCACCGACTGTTCTCATCAATAGGTGTACAATTTTTGTCCAGTCTCTTCCCACACCCCCCTCATCCCTTCCCCCCCCCACCCCCCGAGAATAGTCAGTCCACTCCCTTTCTATGCCCCTGATTCTATTATAGTCACCAGTTTATTCTGTTCATCAGATTATTTATTCACTTGATTTTTAGATTCACTTGTTGATAGATGTGTATTTGTTGTTCATAATTTGTATCTTTACCTTTTTCTTCTTCTTCCTCTTCTTAAAGGATACCTTTCAGCATTTCATATAATACTGGTTTGGTGGTGATGAACTCCTTTAGCTTTTTCTTATACGTGAAGCTCTTTATCTGACCTTCAATTCTGAATGATAGCTTTGCTGGGTAGAGTAATCTTGGTTGTAGGTTCTTGCTATTCATCACTTTGAATATTTCTTGCCACTCCCTTCTGGCCTGCATAGTTTCTGTTGAGAAATCAGCTGATAGTTGTATGGGTGCTCCTTATAGGTAACTGACTTTTTTTCTCTTGCTGCTTTTAAGATTCTCTCTTTGTCTTTTGCTCTTGGCATTTTAATTATGATGTGTCTTGGTGTAGTCCTCTTTGGATTCCTTTTGTTTGAGGTTCTCTGTGCTTCCTGGACTTGTAAGTCTATTTCTTTCACCAGGCAGGGGAAGTTTTCTGTCATTATTTCTTCCAATAGGTTTTCAATATCTTGCTCTCTCTCTTCTTCTGGCACCCCCATAATTCGGATGTTGGTACGCTTGAAGTTGTCCCAGAGGCTCCTTACACTATCTTCATATTTTTGGATTCTTTTTTCATTTTGCTTTTCCGGTTGGGTGTTTTTTGCTTCTTCGTATTTCAGATCTTTGACTTGATTCTTGCGATCCTCTAGTCTGCTGTCGGAACTCTGGATAATATCCTTTATTTCAGTCAGTGTATGCTTAATTGGTCCTTTTTCTTTTCTTTTTTTATTTTTTTAAATTAAATCTTTATTGTTCAGATTATTACAGATGTTCCTCTTTTTTCCCCCCATAACTCCCCTCCTCCCAGTTCCTGCCCCACCCTCCGCCCTCACTCCCCACCCACTGTCCTCATCCATAGGTGCACCATTTTTGTCCAGTCTCTTCCCGAATCTCCCACACCCCTTTTCCCCCCAAGAATAGTCAGTCCCTTCCCTTTCTATGTCCCTGATTCTATTATGATCACCAGATTATTTATTCACTTGATTCTTAGATTCACTTGTTGATAGATGCATGTTTGTTCATAATTTGTATCTTTACCTTTTTCTTCTTCTTCCTCTTCTTAAAGGATACCTTTCAGCATTTCATATAATACTGGTTTGGTGGTGATGAACTCCTTTAGCTTTTTCTTATCCGTGAAGCTCTTTATCTGACCTTCAGTTCTGAATGATAGCTTTGCTGGATAAAGTAATCTTGGTTGTAGGTTCTTGGTATTCATCACTTTGAATATATCTTGCCATTCCCTTCTGGCCTGCAAAGTTTCTGTTGAGAAATCCGCTGACAGTCGTATGGGTATTCCCTTGTAGGTAACTGAGTTTCTTTCTCTTGCTGCTTTTAAGATTCTCTCTTTGTCTTTTGCTCTTGGCATTTTAATTATGATGTGTCTTGGTGTGGTCCTCTTTGGATTCCTTTTGTTTGGGGTTCTCTGCTCTTCCTGGACCTGTAAGTCTATTTCTTTCACCAGGTGGGGGAAGTTTTCTGTCATTATTTCTTCAAATAGGTTTTCAATATCTTGCTCTCTCTCATCTTCTGGCACCCCTATAATTTTGATGTTGGTACGCTTGAAGCTGTCCCAGAGGCTCCTTACACTATCATCGTATTTTCGGATTCTTTTTTCATTTTGCTTTTCTGGTTGGGTGTTTTTTGCTTCTTCGCATTTCAAATCTTTGCCTTGATTCTTGCGCTCCTCTGGTCTGCTGTTGGGAGTCTGTATAGTATTCGTTATTTCAGTACATGTATGCTTAATTTCTAGTTGGTTCTTTATCACAACATCGAGGGTCTCATTAGATTTCTTGAGGATCTCACTACATTTATCGGCGTCTTCTAGACAGTTCTTAAGAGACCTTAAAAGTGTGGTTCTGAACTCAATATCCTCCATTGACAGTTTTGTCCTGTTTCTTTGTCTCCGCATTTTTTATGCTTTCTTGGTGCACCCCCTAGTGGTCTTTGTGCGCAGTCTTGTAGTTAAGCCTTGATTGTTGTTGGCAATACCGGGGTGATTTGACCTCCAGGCTAACTGGCTATGAGAGTCCTCTGTGTCTGCAGTGGGAGAGCTTCCATGCTGGATCTCTAGGGCGGTGCTAATCTAGCGTTTGCCTGAGGCTATCCGGCAAATGACTCTGCGCAGGGCTTGGGCAGGGCGGGTCCCCGGGGATCTACAGGGTGGGCCAGAGCGAGCAGTTATGGCTGCTCTCAGTTCCGTCCCGAGGGGCTCTGCCTCACAGTGTCCCAGCAACCGCTGCAAACCTCGGAGAGAAAGCTGCCTTCGAGTTCCGACCGAAGCCAGACAGTCCCGCTTCTCCCGTTTGAGTCTGGGTCCCTAGAGACTCGCCCAGATCTGGAGCTCAGAGTCTGAAACTCCCTCCCGATTGAAAACAACAACCGCGCCCTCCGCCTCCAGCCCACTCCGCATGCACTCCGCACCTTAGTATTTCACTTCAGCACTGCGCCTCCTCTGAGTCTGGGTATGATATTCTCTTTCCTCCTAGTTGTAGAATTTCCACTCAGCCAGCCTTCCTGTGGTTCTGGATGATGTCCGTTCCATCTTTTAGTTGTTTTTTCAAGTGGTTGTTCGAGGCAGCAATCTCCAGCGTTAACCTATGCCGCCATCTTGGTTTCTCTGGCTACATGCCTCTTCTGCTAGTTGGTCCTTTTTCATAATCTTGAGGGTCTCACTAGATTTCTTGAGGGTCTCACTAAATTTATCGGCGGTTTCTAAAAAATTCTTGAAAAACCTTAAAAGTGTGGTTTTGAACTCTATATCCAGTAGTTTGCTTTCCTCCATTTCTGTCATTTGTGTCCTGTTTCTTTGTCTCCGCATTTTTTATGCTTCTCTGTGTTGATAGAGTGGCTTTTTATGCGAGGTGTCCTATAGGGCCCAGTGGCTCAGCCTCCCCAATTACCTGAGGTGGACACTCTTGGTGCACCCCTTTGTGGGCTTTCTGCACAGTCTTGTTGTAGTTAAGTCTTGATTGTTGTAGGTATCACTGGGAAGAATTGACCTCCAGGCCAATTGGCTGTGAGGATCAGCTGTGTCTGCAGTGGGAGAACTTCTGAGCTGGAGACACTCTTCTGGGGCAAGACTTGCTTCAGTGGGGCTTTGGTGCTCACTGAGTCTGCCCCCTGAGTGTGTCCCTTATGGATCTGAGGAGTTGTAATCTGGATGGTCCCACTCTGACCACTGGGTACACTGGCTCTTGGATCTCTAAGGAGGTGCTAATTTAGCCTCTGCCTGAGGCTACCCAGCAGGAGCTATGGAGAGATTCCTCTTCTTTGTTTGGGGTTTGGAGGTGCCCAGATGAGGCCCAGCTGTGAAGCAATGCAAGCTGCTGTAAGGCCTTGGACCTTCTTTTGGATGTTTTATGTCTCTCTGATTCAGCTGCAGTTTGTTAGGTAATTTTCAGGTTGCAAAGGGCCAGACCTTTCATATGCAAAAGCCTCTGCAAACAGCTTGGGTGGGGCGGGGCCTCTTGGGAGCAACAGGGTAGAGCAAACAGCTATGGCTGATTCTCAGTCCTGCCCTAAGAGGCCCCGGGTCTCAGTGTCCCGTGGTAATCACTGCAAGCACCTCTGAGAGAAAGCCGCCCTCGAGTTCTGCCTGATGCCAGACAGTCCAGTTTTTCCCCGTATGAGTCTGGGTCCCCAGAGACTCACCCGGAACTGGAGTTCAGAGCAGTCAGGAGCTTGAGACTCCCTCCCGATTGAAAAAGACAACAGTGTCCTCAGCCGCCAGCCCTCTCCACGTGCGCCTCCGTACCTCTGCACTTTACCTCCGCACCTCCTCTGCGTCTCAGTGCTTTTCTCTTTCCTTCTAGTTGTAGAATTTCCACTCAGCCAGCCTTCCTGTGGTTCTGGGTGATGTCCGTTTTGTCTTTTAGTTGTATTTTTGAAGTGGTTGTGCAAGGCAGCAATTTCCGGTGTTTACCTATGCCGCCATCTTGGTTTCTATTCTTGTGATTTTTATATTCCTGTCTTGAGAGGTACCTATCATTTCAAAAACTGATGACTTCATTAGGGAAGCCTGTTCAATAGAGGAAGGAAGGACAGAGGGGTTGGGGTTGGATGTAGGTGAAGAAGAGCAGCTGAGAGACATGGCCAAAAAAGTGGGTGTGTCCAGACTAGACCATCTTAAGAACTTTTTTCTATAAATCATGGGGAACCAAGGTGTGCCCTGCTTGGATTTGTGGTGCAAAAATGTGTAGGATGGATGGAACAAAAGAAGGGCTTCTGATATTTTTTAGTGTCCTCAAATCAGCCCCCTCCTAGGCTTCAAAATGAGGAAGTTGGACCACATCATGGGGTCTGAGTGTGGGTATGAAAGCCCTCTGCTAAGCTGTACAGCTGACTCTGCTTCTGGTGTGTGGATTGTCTGAAACGTGCATTTGCTCCCTCAGGAAGAAGATGGACTTCGGATGAGGAAAACGGCGCAGAGCAACAGCCCCATTCCTGCATTGGCCACGGCAGGGAAGGAGGAGGGCCTCAGCACCCGGCTGCTCGCGCTGGTAGTCCTGTTCTTCATCGTCGGTGTCATCATAGGGAAGATCGCCTTGTAGAGGCAGCATGTGGAGGGGGGTCGATTGGATTGATGGATCCGCCGTATCATGGGATTTAAATTTATCATAACCATGTATAAAAAGAAATTATGTATGATGACATCTCACAGGTCTTGCCTTTTAAATTACCCTTTCCTGCGCCTGCGAGTGCACCCATACACAAATGTAACACAATGTAACAATCTTTTAGAAAGATACAAATGCATAATACATGATGGGGAAAAGAATGATCTTTGTTAATGATAAGGGAAGCCATGATTAAGTGGTAATGGCATGTTGTAAATGTCATTTTAAACATCCGTAGCCTCGGTCCATGTCGCTGGTTACCTCTCTGAAAACACGACTCTCTTCCTTGCCTGGGTGCCGGCCTGGGAGCCAGAGCCCAGCGTGGTGGGAATACCATCCCTCCACAGTCAGCCCACGCTGCTCGCTCGCTCCCAGGCTTCTTGTCCGTGTGATGCCCGGGCCATCAGTTCCTTGGGACTGATGAGCAGAGTCAGCCGCCGAGAATTGTGCTGTGGCGGCATGGGCAGGGTACGGGACACGGGTGGGCATGGGCACCGATTGGCCCATACTTTGGAAGGAAAAGCCAGTGCTTTGTTCTCTTAAAGGGACCAAGCTAAATTCCTGTTGGTTCACGTCGTGTGATTGAACTGTATTCGGAGATGTTTAATGCATATTTAACTTATCTAATGTATTTCATCTCATGTTTTCTTGTCACAAGATTATAGTTAATGCTGTGGCCTAAAAATCACCTGTGCTACATAATGCCGCCGTTGAAGCTGGCATTATGGCCAGAGGGCTGTGGACTCTGCATACGAATATACAGACGTGTGGTTCATTTGAATGTTGGAGAACAGCAGCCAGGAAGTATTTTTCTGTGTAAAAAATTAACAACTATCAGAGGGAGGAAAATTTGTAGTAGCAACAGTAAACTCGATTGTACCCTTTTTAATGGAGAAGAGCAGCCGATCTTTTATATTGTTCTCTCACTGCCCACCCCTCAGCCAGCACTCACACTTCCAGCACAGGAACCCCAAGCCTGGTCGTGATCTGACCTTACAGATCCAGCTGGGGATCAGGCAGTGAGTTAGGCAGCAGAGGGTTAGGCGAGGGAGTCAGCCGCCGGGGCAGGGAGGGTTGCGTGAGGGGCTCTGCAGGTAGTCCATCTAGCACGTGGTAACTGAGAGTTTGACTGTGGAATCATTTTATGCCGTAAAAGACCAACCCAATTCTGTTTGACTATGTAGCATCTTAAAAAGAAAAAAAGTAAAATAAATCCCCAAAATTCAGAGTTCTTTTGTCATTTTGTCACATTTGCTATATGCGAGGAATTATTATTTTTATCATAATCATCATTATTTTGTCATTGGAAGGTTGATTTTAAAATGTACCATACCCATGAGAAAAAATACGTTTAATTACACACACACACACACACACACACACACACACATATTTGGGGTGTTGGCTTCAACTGCAAATATAAAAATAAAATTGCTGAACATCGTAAGCCCCAGTCTCCCTTGCCCTTCCATTGCTTTGCCTGCCTCTCGGGGCAAAGAAACCTTCCCTCTGGGTCGAGGAGCCCTGCAGAAGAGACTAGTGGGAGGTACACTGAGATGGCTTCAGTGTGTGAATGGGTCTAAAAGACAGATTCATCAACAGGAAGACAGTTCTTAGAAGCCATATACCCCGAGTCTTCTTCCCCCCAGTCTGGCTGGGCACATGGCCCGAGGTTCTGGCTCTGGTGATCTGGTCAGGACCCAGCCTGGAAAGCGGGAGTCTGGTTAGTCAGTAACTTGCTGTCTTCACAATAAGGTCACTCTGTGTCCTGAGTACGTCCTGCACCTGTCTCACCAGTTGCACTGAGCAGGCAGCCATGGAAGGCTGCCCGTTGTGAGTGAGTCTCCCTAGTTTTTCCATGTGGGTCCTGGGAGTGAGCTGCGAGGCATGTGGACTGAAATGTGTCAGGTGTGGGCCCACAGCGGACTAGTCCTTTTGCCTCCCGTGCCGCACCTTGGAGGGAATGGAAGTGGTTAGGAAGGCCGCAAATGTCCCGTGGCTCTGGAGCAGGGGCTGCACACTTGTTCTTAAAGGACATGGCTGTGTGTTCCAATAAAGCTTTATTCACAAAAGCAGTTTGTTGGATTTGGCCTTTGAGGCTGCAGTTTGCTGGTGCCTCCCTATGGGTGACTAAGTTCTTAGAGTGCCTGGGAAGCCTCTGTTTTGGGTCTTCGATCGTGACAGCGTTTCGTGGACATCTGGAAGCAGATAATCAGCTTCTTAAGAGTATGGGCATTTTGTAGCTAAAAATCAAAATTTTAAATCCAGAGTTGTCTCTTTTTTCTAATTAAACATCCTGTAAAATCTCCCTCTTAGAGGTTCGAACTTGGGGAACACGTTACTTTGTGGGACTTTTTGGCTGAGTGGGAGAAGGGAATTCCCCAGTGAGGGTAGTGGCAGGGAGATTGGCTGTTCTCTGAATTGTCCTGGTCAGTAAAGAATGTGTCACAAGAGAATGTGTGAGGGAGCCAGCTCTGCTAAGGCTCAGGGGCCACTTTAAGAGCCGTAACACTCAAGAGCTTGGCCCTGGAGAAATGCACATTTCGGGGGCCTTTTCTGGAAAGGGAAAATCGAGATGTGGATGTGCACGGTCCTATCACATGTTCTGTTCTATCCTGCAAGGGTGGGAGTCAGAAAATTGAAATAAACTGTCACAGAACGAGGCTGACGTTGGTTGGGGTGCTGGCCAGGAACAGAGCTGGGCACTGCAGGCAAGTTGGCCGCTGGTTCCGTAGCACCTCAAAGCCTGGTGCCCTTGTTTTAGAAATACCCACCATGCAGTTTGCAAGTACTGAGATGTAAGCAATAACAGAGTGCCATAAATTTTTATTGATCGCATTTTTAAATGGATAATTTAAGCTCCCTTGGCACGATACAAAAATACCTCTTGAAGAGAGCAGACTAAAATTTGTAGGTGTGAGGACCCGGCTTTAATTTTTTCTCTCCTAGTTTGCATGTTTTCCCTCATTAGTCTTTCTAAACTGCTGGCACCAGCAGTAATAAATACTGATAAAATCAAAATTGATTTTTACCAGTGGACAGTTTATGCCTAGAGAGATGGCTTATACCTAGCTTATACCTGCATAACACAAAAGGGGGAAAATGAAGAACCTCCAGTGATCCGTGTAAACCTAAACGCTTTCAAACAAATTCTAGGAACAGAATTCCTATCGAAAGATACCAGTGCTGAAGGTGGCGAGTCAGAACTGAAGGCAGTGATAGCTCAGAGCTAAACAGCCTTTCAAATTAATTTGAAAACAAGCCGTGTGTGTGTGTGTGTGTGTGTGTGACATGTACCATATGTAAGTAGCTTCCCATTTTTCCAATGGTGCCTATATTGTTTGCACACACAAATCTCTGTATTTGCAAACTCTGAATCTATGCCAAAATGTAATACCATTTGTCATTTTCGGTTCCTTTTCTAGAGAACTGGCCCATTTACAAAGTTGTTTTTTTTTGTGTGTGTGTGTTTTTTTTTTTTTTCTGGTGTGTTTGTGAAATTCTTGGTTTACAAGAGAAAAATAAGGAGAAAAATGGGACATGGGCTGCAAAGTCACCTGAACACTGGAATGACCTTGACCTCTGAGACTGAGTTAGCAATGGCCTTGGATCCCAGAGCAGCCTCTCCTCCCCCTTTCCTTTGAGCCCATCTGGCTAGAGAAGGCGCAGTAAAACTATGGAATGAATCAAAAGTTAGGAGTCCTGCTGTTGCTGAAATGGAGTAGGACTTAATCCTAACCTAAAGAGTATGTGGGTGACTACGGTTCATAGTACGCAGATCCGATCGGGCCCTTGGGGCCCCCCTGTACCCTATGTGAAGGGCCTGAATCACTGGGACATTGTCTCAACCTCACAGTCACACAGGTGACCTCAGGGAAGGCTGTGGTGAGCTAACTCCCCATCTCGCACTGGCGGTATACACCTTTATGCATCTGCCGCCCTCATACCTTATGTAGTTGCTTTACGAGAAAGTGGCTAGAATCAGGACTTTCCTTCTGATGGTTTTTGGTTTTGGAACTGAACACATGTCAGACAGTGAAGAAATGCGTTTCCATCTTCCCAGTGCCTGCAGCCTCTGCCACGTGCTCCTGGAAATGAGTCTGGGGCTTCAAGGAAGCAAATGAGCAGTCTGTCTTGGGAGGGAGGGAGGAGGGTGGTGGCCCAAATTAACTGGGAGCCAGGACAGCTCATTAGAATGGGCGTCACAAGAGAGGCCTGCTAGGGTTAGGAAACAGCCAGCTGCTGGTCTCCGCTCTCCCGAATCAGGTTGCATTTCTCCGGGAAGTCGCCAATGGGAGCCAGTAATAGCAGGCCCTGATCCGGAGCATTGGCCCAGAGGCAAACCTGTGAGGCTGGGAAAGTAAATCTCAGGCCAGATTCCCAAACCCTACTCCTTATCCGAGTCCCACCGGCAGCAGACTCAGCCTCTGAGACCATTAGTTGGGGTGCATAAGGCCACCCCCAGCTCAGGTCGAGAGACTCAGACCTTCCTTTGAGGGGTTGCTTGACACCACTGACAAATAAGGTTTTGTTTTAATTTATTTTCATTACAGAGATATTTTGAAAAAATTTAGAAGGCGTGTGCTCACATGCACGGCTGTGCATCATAGTTAAAAGTGAAACCATGGAGGTGGATGAGAGGCTTCCCCATTAATGTAATTACTTCGGATTTTTTTCTTAATGGAATTAATTCATTAGAAAATGTTGGCATCCGATCCGTAGGAAAGGAAGACAAAGCTAGCAACAAAAATATAGCTATTATCTCACTTGCCATAAATATTTGCAATTATGATACCTTGGAATGCTGCCACGATATGGATTGCTTTGATTAAAAGATGTCAGTTGAATAAAACAGTACGGGGGGATAATAGTTTTCTGCTACTAGATAAATGCTAATGTTTATTTTTAAACCCGGAAACATTGATCCTGTGACAATGCCCCGTTACAATTACTTTATTATCCCAGGGGTTGATGTATATTTAATCATTTGGCTAATGGATGTGAGTGCTGTCCTGAGGCTGGCTCGCTGTCCCACTTGCATTCTGATGAGCGGCAGGAGCCCCCCAGGCTGCTCAGGTGGGGCAGCTGCAGATGGGGCTGCTCAGGTGGGACTGTGGCTCCCGAGCTTCGTTTCACTGGTATCCAAAGCCAGGTCTGGCTGAAACCAAACGGATTACCCTTTATTTTCTGTTTCCCTTCAGTAAACACCGACCAGGGGAGACAAATCAGCCATCTTAACACAATTTCATTAAGGCTTCGTGCTAACAAGGACGCATCGCCTTTCACAGTTGAAGCCGATGATCAATGAGCTTGCGTGTTGCCCACCTTGATGTGATGGCTTTCCATGTAACACCCAAAGGGCTGGTTCTTTTTGCCTGCATTCCCATCTTTCTTTAGGATTTCAGAAGTAAACTCATTTCAGCTGCTACCCTCTCGTCCAGCATGCATTTAGAAATTTTTTCCCCCACTGACCCTTTTACTTGGAATCAAAGATCAGAATTGATTGTCTAATTCTGAGACCACGTGGACAAGAACAGCTTCTTGCTTTTCCCCATTTACTTACTCATTCAGCAAACATTTATCAGTTCACCTTCTCTGTTAATTACCGTGGGAGATGCCAAGAAATTAATCAATGGGAGTGATTGGTTTTTGGTTTCCATTTGTAAGCAATAAGGTGATCCAAGCTTATACATAGACTAGAAAAATGCATTTTGCTCTCATTTCTATTGGTAGTGTTTCCTCTTTAAAGACCGTTTATAAACTGCCATTTGGAATTTCCTATAAGAAACTCAGAATGATCTATTTAAATGTTCCCTTCGCCTCCCCTCTCCTCTTTGAGTCAAGAAGTATTTTAGTACATCCTGCTGTCCTCCCTGCTTTACATCTTTCTGTCTGTCTGGAGAGATCTCCGCAGCGTGTTTTCATTGTGACTTCAATGTACATTAACATTTGGGGAATTTAGTGTTTTAAGGATGTCTTAGAATGCTTTAGATTGCATATTTTTTCTTTGATATATTTTAAAGTTGAATTTCCTATTTGGACATGGGATTCATTTTAAAAGTTGGTGCAGGAAAGGATTCTCCACCGTCATACATTCTGGTTATTTGATATGTCATCGGTTGGAGGTTTTCTGGCTAACGTGGCACTTGCCAGAGGGAAGGAGATGTATTTCCACTGTGTCCAAATCCAAAGAGACATGCACAGCGTGCTCTCACATGTTCCGTGGCA